TGCTGCCTTTTCACCTCTTACGTCCTAACCCTGATTCGTACCTGACCATTTCCCCTCAAAAGTGAAATAAAGCAGTTTGCTAGTTTTGTTAATCAGCCTCTTCTGTGCCATTATAAAAGTAGGACAAAAGAAGGATTTTAGTCTCTCCCCTCAATTCCTTAAGCTGGGTCAGCATTTACCAATATACATTCAGATGACTGGGTGGGATAGCCAGAGAAAAATGAAGAAGGAAGAAAAAGGGGCTGCTCAACTAAGAACAATATAAAGAGAAATTCTGTGAGGGACAGTGAAATTGCCATAGCTTTATTCCAAAAAACTTTTATAATCATGCACTGCCACCAGATATGAGCCCATATGTCTTTACATCTGCAGCATATATTTGATGTGGAAGATGTTATTTTTGTTAACCTGTCTGATGTCAAATACCACTGATGCATGAATTTAATAACGTTTTCCCTTATAGCTACGTTCGCTGAAACATTTCTTATACTTTAATGGAGATTATTCCACTGATACTGTATTATATGTGATGTAGTCTTGTGTTTTGAATATTATGAAAGTAAAGCCCTCAAGTTCTGACAAAAAAGGAAATGAAGCAACATGCATCGCCTGATTCATTATTTTAAATATTGATGCTCTAGGTTATCTGGAAATCGTGGAGAATCTCTTTTCGACCCAATCAAGAAAGGAATTGCCCAAGAGAAGTGAAGAAACTCCATAAAGATTTTGTCATGGTTGACCAATTGCACAGCAAGTATTGACTGACTAAAAAACTTCCATCAAATTTTGTATTTCTAGTCTCATAGTGTTTGTGTGACTCCATAAGTCATTGTATTGCTTTTACTGCCTGATCTTTTGTATGTTTTTTCAAAATAAGTACAGCTGAGTTCAGTGGGGCTTATTTCCTTGTAACAGCTCAATCATACATATATTTACTTGGAACCTTGTAATATAATGTTAAATACAGCTTACTCCCAAGGAAATATGCCCAGGGGGCTCCAATGCTAGGCATACTTCCTTCAGAGTAATTGATAAAATATACACAGAATTAGACTGTATGTCTTCATTTTGGTTTTTTTCATTAATAAATAATACTTGGCTATGATCTTGAGCACATTTTAAAACATGTCTGCTCCACTGAAATAACTGAGGCTTGCTTCAGTAACCTCAATGAGGTTTGCTGAACAAAATAATCAAACTAGTGCAAGGCTAGGGAAAGGCATGGCTGTGAGCCCACATCTTTTTCAAGCAGCTGCCTGAATTATCTTTCAAAATTGACAGATTCTCAACTGACTTATTTGTCCTTTTCTGCAACCAGATTGTGTGTGTGTGTGAGAGAGAGAGTACAAGGCAGTTACTCTAGCTTAAAGCTAGAGTATTTTCTATAGGACATTAAGTATGATGAAGCTGCAGACCTGTGTACTTATATTGTGACTATTTGATTTTTTAAATTTTATAATCTCAAAAATAAACTACCAAAATGAAAAATATGCAGATAGTTTATCAATATAAATTGATGTAACAGAAATAGTAAATATGTATACAGCAATGCAGGGGTCTCCAACATGGTGCCCGTGGGCACCATGACACCCACCAACACCACTCATGGCGCTTGCCAAGTGTTTTTAGAAAGTGGTCATAGACAAGTAGGGCTCCTGCCCAAAAGGGCTCTTGATTGGCTGTACAGATTAGAATAATTTTTTGGCTGCAGTTGCCACTGCAGTACTGGTTTTATTCTCGATCACTACTCTTTCTCAGTATATATTTTTTAAAAATTATTCCACTTGTCCCCTGCACTTGGGGTCCCATATGTATCTCCACCTCCTGCAGTGGCCATTTTGTGGTTGCACCCAGAATCCTGTGTCAGAATATCAAAGGTGCCTGCAGGCTGAAAAAGACTGTAGATCCCTTCTGTAATGAATAGTTCCAGAGTAATATCTTAGACTTCCATATATCTATTTTCCTCTTTCATTTATTCTAGAAAGCAATAAAAGGCCACCATCTTTATTTATTTATAATATTTTTATGCCTTTTTCACCCAAATAGGGTCACCAAGACGGTGAAAACGAAAACATTAAAACATTTAAAATATTAATGCAGCACTAATACATAAGGTATATATAAAATATTTAAACATCTTGATTGGCTGTACAGATTAGAATAATGTTTTGGCTGCAGTTGCCACTGCAGTATTGGTTTTATTCTCGACCACTACTCTTTCTCAGTATATATTTTTTTAAATTATTCCACTTGTCCCCTGCACTTGGGGTCCCATATGTATCTCCACCTCCTGCAGTGGCCATTTTGTGGTTGCACCCACCAACGTGTGTGACTAGCCCAGGAGGGTCAGCCCAGCTTCCAAGGTAGAGTGGCTATTCGAAGCCAGATCCCCTTCTGTAATGAATAGTTCCAGAGTATATCTATTTTCCTCTTTCATTTATTCTAGAAAACAATAAAATGCCACCATCTTTATTTATTTATAATATTTTTATGCCTTTTCCACCCAAATAGGGTCCCCAAGACGGTGAAAATGAAAACATTAAAACATTTAAAATATTAACACAGCACTTGTACATAAGGTATATATAAAATATTTAAACAATTCAATCAAAACATATAGACATACAAAAACTCATAACAACGTAACCAGGGAGGGGGGCTGAGTTACTGGGGATATGCCAGACAAAACAAAAGAGTCTTCATGTGCTAGCAGAACACAACGATAGAAGGAGACAAACAAATATCCCTGGGGACAGAGTTTCAAAATTTTGGCAGTATGACCAAGAAGGCCCCTTCTCAGGTTGCCACCCTTCAAGCCTCAGATGGCATGGGGACCTGAAGTAGAACCTTCAAAGATGACCATAGTGGATGGGTAGGTTCAAGTGGGTATGCTGGTCCCAAGGTATGCTGGCTCCAAGCACCTTGAATTGAGCCTGGAAGCAAATTGGGAGTGACTATAGATGGGAACAACCCAGGAGCGCTATGATCTCTGTGACCTATTCTGACTGAAGCATTCTGTACCAACTGTAGCTTTTGACAGTCTTCAAGGGCAGCCCCACATTTTCATTGCAGTAATCCAATATAAATGTTACCTAACACCTTTGAATGAACACAGTCTGTGTAATAGTACCAACATTTTCTGAGCTAGGCTATTCGATAAATTATTTACATCATCTGGAATTGAGTTGTGACTTTTCATGCTCATCAAGGCTATCATCCTTTCATGATTGTTAAAGTTCTGCAGAGGAATTCTAAGAATAACGGCCACATGCTGCAAAGCTACAAAATCCAATGAAGGCTTTCAAGCAAAGGCAACAATAGTTAGAACTTCCTCAGAAGTTCTCTCTCTCCCTCCTCAGCTGGGTTGAGCAAATTGGCTCAGAGGAATGAGCAGGAGAAGGTTAGTTATACAAGCCTATAAAAGGCTGTGGTGTTGCTATCCTAAAGAAAATGTATGTATAGCCTAGGTTTTCCCAAGAGCTTGATACACTACAAATAAGTACAAAATGAGGCAAAGACTGATTCCAGATAAGACTGTTATGTGGAGTAGCTGAAACCCTAGCACAAATACAACAGAATGTCTGGACAAAATCCCCCCAGAAAAGTCATTTCAATGAATGCTTAAAGTGGAAGCTTCTGCTCAATAGTGAGCCAGTGTGGTGTAGCAATTGGAGTGTTGAAGTAGGATCTGGGAGACCCAGGTTTGATTCCCACTCTGCCATGCAAGCTTGCTGGGTGATCTGGGGTCAGTCGCACACACTCAGCCTAACCTGCCTCACAGGTTAGGAGAGGAGACAACATAAGATGCTTTGGGTCCATATCGGGAAGAAAGGGGGGTATAAATGAAGCAGATAAATAGACCAGCGAGGTTGATTAACAACATATTTCTAAGAACACTTCTCCCCTGTATGCGTTCTAGTGCCTGAAACAGGCAATGTAGTTTCTGAAGAGGAAAAGGGAGGAAAATATTGTCTTCAGATGGGATAGCTTTCGAAATGATATAGCTGGGTAGTGAAAGTAGTTCCAAAACATCAATTCCTGATCTTGGTACTTCTTTAGTGCAGACTGTTATCTTGAATTTTAGGAAAACCAGTTTAATTTAATGAGTGCCTGAAACTTCATGAAGATAAAACAGAATGAAACAATGGATGGGGGGTGATGAGTCTTGCATATCACAGGCACAATCCAATGGATACAAGTGTCCAGGGGTCATTTCGTAGAAAAAGAGCTAGGGGAACTCATTAGCATAACTCATTAGCATATGCCACACCCCCTGACATCAGGGGCCCGGCGGTGGACCTGCCAAGTGTCACAAACATAACCACTGTATTATACATGAATGATACTTTTAGTTGCAGGAGCAAGAAGAGTGGTTTCCTCACATCCTAATTTAGTAGGTTGAGTACTAGGAGAGTGCAGTTCTCTCACAGTGGAAACACCAAATGGGACATCAACCTCTAAGTTTAGTTTATTGTTATTGTTGTAGCCATCGGCCACAACATCCCAGCATATACACCAACATATAACGATATGCCTTCTACAACGGAAGGGTAAAAACATTTTTACATAACAGGATAAAACTTAAAAAAATTAAAACTAAGTTGGTAAGAAATAAGTACAACAGAAAAAATATCCATAAGATAACATGAAATTACAATTAGGTAAAATTTTTGCAGAATTAGCAAGTGCTAATTTCTTCCTTATATTTATTAATAAATATAGGTAACAACTTTGAGGGTAACAAAAGGGATAGCATCAGCCAAAAGAGATAGCATCAGCAGTTTGTTTCGAATGGACCTCTACAAGGTACAATGTAGAACGTAGTGTACAATATCTTCTACCTGATTAAGACCACAAGGGCAGAGGCATTGTTCCACAGGAAATTTTTGAAATCTGCCCTGTAAATACTCAGGTGACATAGTTTGAAAACATGCACTAGCAGGGCTAATTTTGGGCAGGAACGCACAGGAACGGAGTTTTGGCTGGCTCCCAAGTTGGCCATGCCCAGCAGGAACCCATTAGCATAATAGGCCACACCCAACAGCAGAAACTCATTAGGATTGGCTACATTAGGGGTGTGTGGCCTAACATGCAAAGGAGTTCCTGCTACAAAAAAAGCCCTAGGTTTTGACAACAAACAAGGTAAACAGAATAAGAAGCAAAAGGTGGGTGTGGCTAGATGACCATACTTCTGGTAGCGTGGGGGTGTGGCCTAATATGCTAATGAGCTATGCTGTCTGGCGTGGTTGGTTGGATATGCTAATAAGTTTCTGTTGTTGGGTGTGGCCTATTATGCTAATGAGTTCCTGCTGGGCTTTTCCTACAAAAAAAGCCCTGTGCACTAGTAAATGCCTTTCTTAATGAATGTAATATTAGAAAGGTCAGCTAAGTAACAAGAGAAGGATTTGTTTTTCTTAATCCAAGGATACCACAGAGAAAATTTGGATTGTTGGGCCATATCAATATCATGAAGGGCATCTTTTTCAAAAAAACAATTATGAATTTTGCTTGAGTCCCAAAACTTTACAGCCTCTAAAGAGGGCAAGGAGTATAACTGCAGAATAGGGGAAAGCAAATAGGACCCTTCTTTGTAGTACCAAAAACCATATTTTACCAAATGGTCTTCGGAAATACTGTCAAGTTTCTTATAATATTTTAATAGTTTCAAATGGACTCTTGTTGTAATAGAGGGTAGTCCAACTTCTAACCTTAAGTGTGCAACAGGAGTTCTTTGATGGAGACCCAAGATT